CCAAAGTGCCACCATCACCACAGAAGATGGAGGAGAAGAAGAAGAAGGACAGGACACGCCCCAATTCCTCCATCTTACTTCTCTAAACCCCCCTGTACAGAAATCCTAAACCCTGTGTTTCACTCTCTAATTAACCAATCCCTTCACCATTCACCCCGGTGAAACCCTCCTGTCCTCATACAGGTGTTGTCTCCCGTGTAGGGTCAAAGTCCAGCCCCCAGACACTTCTGGCAACATTCCAGGACTCCCGAGCCCCCCAAGGGTGGTCTCGGTGGCACCTCAGTCCTGAGGTGCTGAGATCCCACACCTGTGGCCAGGGATGGAGCAGGATGAGCGTTAAGATCCCTTCCAGCCCAGCCCGTGCTGGGATTGTGTCATTGTGTGAACTCCATTTTCAGAGTGACTAAACACAGCAGATGGGCGCTGTGGGAGGAGGTTCCCAGCGGGGTGGGGTGGTGGCAGCTCTGCCTTTGGGCCTGCTGCAGGTGGATGGGCTGAGTCAGAGCCATTGCTCCAACTGCGCTTTCTCCTTCGCAGCTCCCCCGAAGGCGGCCAAGCCCCCGGAGGAACACCTGAAGGCTGAGAACATCCAGCTCTCCAACTCCTTCAACTACAACGTGCTCCAGCACCTGGGCCAGTTCCCCCCTCTGATGCCCAACAAGCAGCTGGTGGAGTCCAACAGCAGCAGCCCCCAGCCCGCGGGCGGCACCAAACCCGTCATGTCCTACGCCAGCGCCCTGCGGGCTCCCCCCAAGCCCAAACCCCCTCCTGAGCAGACAAAAAAGAACAGCGACCCCCTGTCCTTGTTTCAGGAACTTAGCCTAGGTAGTTCATCAGGTAGCAATGGCTTTTACTCCTATTTTAAATAATCAGATTATTTTTTTTAGAGAGAATTTAATTTTTATTTGTGTCGGTAGATCTAAGATAGTTGGGGCTTCACCTGTAGTTGCAAATATTCCCTTTGTTTATATTGGTAAATATATCCTCACTTAATTGCTTTGCTGCTAGACTTGCAACTAATTTTTTTTTTTAATTATATTCCATTATTTTGCATTTTTTGATGTGGGTCGGGTTTTTGGAAGCTTTTCTGTAGGAAGACACACACGTGTTATTTTTTAATTTGTGTAATGTTAATGATATGTTGCATTAAACTAGCAGCTGAGAGATTACCTGTACAACTTGAAAAAAGGAAAAAAAAAAAAGGAAAAAGAAAAAAAAAAGAAAAAAAAAAGTTTGTCTAAATTGTATTTAAGAAGATTGTAAGTAGCATTTACATTTATTCAATAACATTAGCATACTATGCTGGGTTTCTGTACCAGAAATGGCCAGTTAATGTAAAAATGTATGTTATTTCTGCTTAAATTCATTTAATTTTTTTTTTTTAATAAAGGTGCAGCATCTTCTAAATAATTTCAGTTTTATCAGCTTTTTTGTGAAGGGATGCTGCATTCTCAGACTTTTATAGTTTTAGATTCTGTATGATGTGGTATTGTATTTTCCATCCACTGTAGGGTAAAGTAAAGGCATTCTTTGCAGACACCTATGCCATTGTTTGGAAACATTCAGATAAAAGTATTGGTATACTTTGAAAAAATAATAAAAAAATAGAAAAAAGAAGAAAAAAAATTAACAAAAAACCCAAAAAAACTCTACATTTTATTTTTGGACAAGCTAATAATATAAGCTTGTTTGAAAAGTTAATTTGATAGGTTTTTTAAATGAATCATGAAGCTGAAAATAAATTTTTAGGTATGTTGGTGCTTAGTAGATTTAATAACTATTTTAAAAAAAATGCGTGAATTTAGTAAAATACTTTTTTTTTTTTTTTTTTATTTTTTTCCACTATGCATGTGTAAATGTTTGTAATCTGGCTTTTTCCTCCCCTCTTCTCCAGTGGTATAAAGAATTGTGCCGCTTTAATTTTTTTTTTTTTCCGGTAAAACTTTTGGTACATTATTTGATGTTTACATTAAAATGTGACATTATACAAGGAAATTCAGATATTTTGCTAACTGTTTTGTTTGAGGAACATCATTAAAGAAGAGATTTAATGTTTGTCAAAGCTGTATCCAAATTAATCGAAATCTTCTGGGGATCAGAGTGGTTACCAGGTTATTTATCTCCGTGAACCTGGCCCTTAAGGAATCCAGTCTGAAAAATTAATTATGGGATATTAAAAAAAAAAAATTAAAGAAACAAATGTGAATGAAAATTCAGAAGATAAAAACTTTGTGGATAAAGATTTCTGGTCTTGCACACTGTCCCTGGTTTGAGGCTGGGGAGCTCCAGAGAGGGGTTGTAGTTTCTCCTTTATTTCTCCTTAATCCTCCTTTTTACACTTGAAGTAACTTTAAATCTGGGAATTGGTTTACAGGGATGAGCTGGGTGTAGTTCAGAATTCCTCCACTTATTACCTGTGAGAATTGAAATTTTAGAGCTGTGAGGGGGCGATTTCAGATTTTTACAGCTGTCCATGGGACACCTTGCTGGGGAGCAGTGGCTCTGCTCTGCTCAATCAGATTTTCGCTCTAATTACAATCAATCAGGTTCATTTTTTTTTTTGCATTTGACTTCCTGTGTTAAGACAAGGGTCATTATGTAATGGGGTTGATTTAAACTCAGTACACTGCAGAGGTTTGCATATAAATTTTTTATTATAAATCTTTGCTGGGTTATGATTCAGAAACTTATCTGAAAACTTTCTTCCTTCTTTTTGCTGTAAAGCAAAGCTCGTGTAACTCCTTAATTTATTTCCTAATGTTATACCAAACAAACAATGCTGGGGAGGGGACAGCCCCTGCCAGGTTCTGCTCAGCACTTCAGCACAGGGCACGGAACCCAGACGACCCAAAAACGAGGAGAGGCCAAATTCTGCAACCTTGAATCAAGCAAAGCTGCTGTCCAATGGGTTTTTGCCAAGCTGCTGGCTGCAGGAATGGGAAATTCACTGGCAGAGCTGAGGTGGGATCCAGTGGAGGGAGGAACAGGACTGGCAGAGCAGAGATGGATCCAAAGCACTTCACGTCCCCAAGTCAGCATTTTGGAATTTCAGGGGTTTCAAAGTCACTCAGTTCTATGGAGCAGCCTTTTGATTCTGTTCACCATTTAATATTGAATATTAAACTAATAAACATCACTTGTTAATTTACTGTTATCTGTCAATCAGTTAAGGGGGAGATGGTTGCATCTCACCACATTTTATTCTGTTTTACACTGGTATTTTATCTACACTGAAAATATAACAGATAAAATCCTATTTTCTCTCTGATTTAGAATTTCAGTTCTTTGACTTTATGGAGACCCCAGCTGGTTTTGGTGCTAAATTTTCATAAGTGCTCTCACCCAGGAATTTGAGGATGATATGATAGAGATGATCTGACTTAACAGCTTTGGCATGAATCATTTGGATTTCTTAGAGTTAGTTTTTTTCCAAAGATTATATTTTTTTGAAATGTCTTGTCTGGCCATTGTATGTCACATATACAGCCCTGAGTGAGATCTTTGGTTTTTGGAGCATGTTATCCAATATTTGTTGAAGTCATGTTTAGAAAACCCCAAAACTGTATTTTCAGCTCTCCTAGGGCTTCAGTCAAACTCCTATTAAAGTGAAATTAAGCCTTACAGATGGCTCCAGTGGGCACTGCTCAGGCTGCACTGTAAATATGGACCTGTTACAATTACAGGGAAAATTCAAAATTGAATTTGTGTAAATTATCTTAATTTAGGGGAAATTATTGGAGGCTGAGGCATATGCACCTACTGGGTATTTGGCTCCTTGACTTTTTTTATGCTTCTGTTAGTGCCAAATCCCATGCTCCTTGCCCAGCAATAAACCCCCCATTGTTGTCTGTGGAAAATTTAAATGACAAATCTAAATTTACTAAGCTTGTATTTGATATCAAGAATAATTCCTGGTTTTATTTTCTATAATTCCAGTTTTTGATGAGAAAAATCTGGATGCCTCACAGAAGGTTGTCAGGGTAATAAGAACTAATGAAGAATGAAGGGAAAGATTTAAAAAAAATTAAATTATTTCTATTTTAAGAAAAATATTTTTTTTTTACAATTCAGATCCCAGAGGGGGTCACAGGGACAAGTCCCCTCCATTCCCCTTTGTGCTCACGTGGCAGCTTTCAGTGTTTCCACAAGACAGCTCATAAATTGCTGTTTGGCATAAAGCTGGCTGCTTAGAACCAAGGCCCCAGCATCCATATTTTCTCCTGGAGGTTGTCATCTGCTACAGTTTGTCCTGGATTTTTCATTGTGTGGGCTGTGGTGCTGCTGACCCTTTGCAGGCTGTGAGTCCTGCCACTGCCTGCGAGCCCTGCCAGTGCCATTCCCTGTTTGATTAATTAATGTTTTGTTCCCAGATTTGTCAACTTCAGCTGGTTTTTTTGCAGAGATCGTGCTCCATAAGCAATTCTTTTGCTATGTTTGTAGCACCAAGAGCAGTGTTTGACCACTCCAGATTTTCTTTTTAGGCTGAGCTGAGGCGTATCAGAACCTGCACATTTCCAGGGCAGTGAGCCCACATGCTCTGCCCATATCATCCTTCAACTCATTTGTTTTGTTAGTTTTTAAAGGTTCTAGTTTTCCTAGAAAAACTGCAGACAATTAACTTGTCAAGACAGATGGTGATGATCTATGGTGCCTATAAAAATTTGCACATCGTATTCCTTGACATGAAGGATGGGCTATTTCTGTTGGTGTAGCAATACTTGCGCCAGTCTCTGTGGCAGGGAGCAAGGGCTGAATCCTTCTAAATTTGCTTTTTCTTTCATTCAAGAGAAGTAAAAGGATTTGCAGCAGCAGCAGCAATGGAAATGTCAGTTCGGTGTGGGGGTTTTTTGGCAACTTTAGCTGAGAAATGTTGAGGAGTTTTTCCCTCATTAAGGATTAATAGATGCTTCTGACAAATTACAGAACGCTCAGTGATATGAATTATCCAAGACTGGTTAAAAGATGTTGTCAGTCCCTTTTCCACAAGACTTGGCTTCCTGCTGGAGGGTAAATACCTCAACAGGAGCAGCTGTAAAGCCACTGAGGTGCTCCCAGTGAGACTGGTGATACTGGGCACGAGGCTGAGCCACAGCCTGCGGTGCAGCCTTGCCAAACAGAATTGTGCTGCTGCTTCTGTTACGTAGAAAATAGTCCAGAAATCTGAGTTTATTCCCTTTCTGCACTTCTTTGAAGAAAGCAGCAAAGCAGCTCAGTGTCTGATGCAGAGTGGGCATGTGTGATGTCTGCATGCCTTGAATTTATGTTCAATAGCTTCAGTGGAGCCCGAGCATCGCTCAAGTGTCACAAAGCAACGACAATCTCATCCTCTACTTCAGTCAAAACAAAGTTGTGACGCTCTTTTCTTGTCCCTTGGTGACAATGGAAAGGGGAAATAATTGGAATGGATGCTTTTAGAGCAGGTCCCACTGCTGTGTGTGTTTTATGGTACAGAGCAGCCTGATGCTCCTGTAGTTAAGTCATCAAGTAATGCAGTGTTCCGAGGGGCACTGTCCCACTGTGGGCAGAGGAAGCTCATTTTAAATTAAGTTTAGGCTGAGGTTGATTCTCTGACAGTTTCTGACTGTGGTCAGGTTGCTGGCATGTGACTGCCCAGCTGCAGCTCTGGACAGAGCCCAGGGCCTCCCTGTGAGTCCCCAGGGCGGGCAGTGCTGCAGATTTCTGACTCTCCTGTCTCAGGTGTGCTCCTCAAGAGCTGGCAGGCCCAGGTGGGAAAGTGTCCCTCTGCAGCAGGGCCAGGGGTCTCATTGGAGGGGGGAAATTCCCTCATCTTTGGGGCTTCCTGGAAATAATTTCTGAGTGAGGAGAAAAAGGTGATGGCCACAAGGAAGTCACAGAGTGGAAAGGCATCAGTGAAAAAATAAACTAAATTCCTGTGCCTTTGCAAATAGTTTGATCAGGGTGATCAAACACCTGAGCATCCTGGATGTGCTGGCTCTCTCTAGGTGTGGACTAAAGGAGAAATAGAGGTGTGTGCCAGGATTTCTGGGTGAAATCCTCCCTCATGCTCCCATCTGTGCTGAGCTCTTCTCCCCCACCCGCTGGTGCTGGGCTGTGCCTGCAGAACCTCCTTGCAGATGAAGGGTGTTCAAGAGCTCAGCTTGCTGCTAAACAGGCAGTTTTCTTCTTCAGGGTTGCTTGTCTGACACCTTTTCTGCACATTAAATTCACACAGCACAGCATTTAAAAACAAGGGAAGCAGATTCTCTCCACGCCTCACAGCAAATCTTACATAAACAAAAACCTTCACGTCTTCTGTTGTGATTTAACACTCGGGCTTTGGCAGACTGGAGCAGCCCAAATCTCAGCACTGTGGCTTGGGCAGTGCCCTGGGGCACCTCTTGGGGCTCTGAGGAGGGGACAGGCACTGGTCTTGGATTAGGGAATGGCACCTGCCCTGAAGGTGTCCCTGGCTCTGGAGTGGCAGGGCCATCACTCAATATTTTGTGGTGGCTGGTGGTTGTTCCTTGTTCTGCAAATTGATTTGCCTCTCTCTCTTTGGTGCCTGTTTCCCACCTGGTTCTTTGGCTGTGTCCCAATCCCAGGAGTGCTCCTGTTGGATGAGTAGCAGCTGGGTTCCTGTCCCTCTTTGGCTCTGGTGAGTCCCTGCTGGTGAAGACATTTCCTTCACGTTTTCATGGTCCATCCCTGAGGTTCTGGTAGCTCTTCCCTGCTGTTTGCTCAGATGAGAGAATGAAAACTGAGACTGGTTACAGCTCCCCCTCCAACATTATATTCCTTTTCCTTTATGAAGGCCAATTACTTTTATTAACTCTCTTAAAACACATTATCAGCTCTGGCAGAACAAACCTGCTGCAGGAGCAGAGCCCTTCCCACCGTGAATACCAATGACTGATTTAATGGATGGGTCCCTCTTCAGCAGTTCTTAATATCTGGAAGAAGAAAATGAAGTTATCCATGTGCTTCTCAGTCTAGCAGGGACCACAGAGAGCAGGGAATGATCACAAAGCCTTAGCCTGGAGCAGAAAGAGAATAAAACTCAGTGAGTCTTAAGGGCTTTAGGAGGCATCTGGCTGAGCTGCCTGAGCTCTGGCTGTGGGTGTAGGATCTCGATGCCATGAGCTGTGTGTTTTCTCTGCCTCCTGAGTAAAGTGATCCCAGGGAGGCTGTAAAACCTTGGATCCAGGCCAAAGCCCAGCACTTACCAGGAATCTTTCCACTGCCCTCCCTGGGGCTTGGGTGAGGCGGATCAGGAGATGGGTGAGACCTTCCAGGGTGTGTTTATCTGAAATGTGAATATCTTGCTCTTGAATATCAGGAAGGGGACTGAGTGGTACCTTGGCTGGGTAAAAGTTGGCCCATCAGGATGAGAACCCACCTAGGAATTGCTTTCTCCCAGCAGAGGTATTGAAGGAGAGGAATGGCCCTTCAGAAAAGGTGTGGGTGCCTGAAGGGCTTCCCCAGGACACAGCACCTGCCACTGTTCCTCTGTGAGGAACTCAGATCCTGTCCCCAAACCTTGCTTATCTCAACCCATGGCATGGCTGAGGTGATGATGAGGATGATGATGATGCTGGCTGAGCTGGGAATGCTGTTGTTCCTGCCAGCTGCTCTGCTTGGATTAATCTTTGCTGTGTGGTTTGGATGTCCCAACCCAAGGTCAAGCCCCCCTGGTGGTCACACTGACCACTTTCCTTTCTGTTGTTGCATGTAAAGGTTCTCCCTAGGAACTGGCCTCTGTTTTCCTGAACAATGAAAATGCAAATTCAGGATGTCAGCTCTGTACCCAAAAATAAGATTTCAAAACCATTTAGCATTTCAGAGTGGTTCTGTGACAACATGAAGACTTGCAGTTGTCTCTCATGATGAGAGACAGGCAGAGCTCCTCGGTTCACACTCAGATCTGAGCACCAGTGAGTGCTTCATCCCAAAACTTTATAATATATGTGTTATTTGTACTGCTTTTCAACTTCAAAGAGCTTGGAAAACATTAATGCAATTTCACGAAAGGCTTCTGTTCTTGCTGCCACTCTGCTGACGGGGAAAATGGAGATGAGCCTGAGTCTGGCTGGGGCTGCTGGGGCTGAGCCCACCCCAATGGTGGGGATCAGGGCAGCCCCTCCAGGCAGCCCCTCCAGCCAGCACAGAACTGCTGGGGAATTTCTCCACATGTCGAACATGCCATGATTTCAGACCTCCTCAAATGGACCAGAGATTTTTCTGTTAGGAATTCTGGTTTTCTTTGGGATTGTGAACAGCTAAACACAGAGCACTTCAGTTCCCCTTTGTCCTGATTTTTAAATTGCCAGGTAAAAAGAGCACGCTGTAAGCCACATATGTTTTACTGCTTGGGGGGAAAATGCTGAGCAGATTCTGAAAATTGAACTGTAAAAATAAAAAAAAAAAAAGAAGAAGAAAAGAAGAAACCCCCCCACCTCTTGGTGCTGGGTACCACGAGGGAGAAGAGGGCTTCTCACTCACATGTGCACCGAGCAGATCAGGGTGTTTCTACAAAGCTCATTCACGGGGAAGGAACGAGAGCTCCGTGCAGCAAACAGCACCCAGACCTGGCAGAAAATGATGGGCCAAGTGATTCATCCATCAAAATAATTTCCCAGAAAATCATGCTACCAGAAGATTATGCTTTTTATTAAAGGAAAATATCACTCTTCATGTTCAGTACTTCTTGGCTTTGCCACTGAAGTTTAAGCAGAACACAGGACTCTTTTGTGGGTTTTACGGTTGATTTAAAAGAATGGAACTGCAGGGTGTAAATTTGGAGGGGAGATTTTTATCCCAATGCTATGCAAAGTTCTGTTTTGTTTTTTATCAAATGTTAACATTTTAATAGAAAGCATAAGGATCTCCAACTTACCCTGGGGGAACAAGCTAACCCTTCTGAGGGAAGGAGAGTGGCATAAATGGGGATATTAACTCCCCACAGAGTGTCTCCCTGACCAAGTAAGGTATAAAAACCTGATATCCCTCATGGATCTATGCCCAGCTACACCAAACATCTCCATAACAAAGCTGTCTCCTCTGTGGCCCAAGCTGTCTCAGACACACACTTCCCCTCAACTGCATCAGCACAGGGCAGCCCCAAACTGGCACAGAGCAGTGCCATTCTCACACACCCATGATGGTGTTAAGTGGTCTGCTTTCTTAAAAAAAGAAAAAGAAAAAACAGAATCAAAAAAGAGAGAAAAAAGAAAGAAAAAAAAAAGAGAGGAAAAGAAGAAAAAAGCAACAATTGCAATCGAACATGCCTGGGTTCAGTAATGACTCACTTGGTGGAGAGCACATTGTGTAGTGAGACCCAGGCATTTTAAAAAATACAAATATTTTCAGAACACTTTCTGGATCTTTTTCATGGGTGCAGGGACCATCAGTGCTCGGGTTCTGCATCCATGCAGGTCTCCCAGGGGTTCTGGGGGAAGCGGGGCAGCGCGATGAGGAGGAGCGCGATGCCGCAGACGAAGAGCAGCACGAAGGCGGAGCAGGCGCAGGCGAAGGACCAGGAGTAGCTGTACTTGATCCAGGCTGTCTCCTTGCTGTCAATCATCCTCTTCACGGATTGTCTCATGACTTCTACAGAGATGATGATGCAGAGACCTGAAGGAAGATAGGAGCAGTGGGTTGAATAACCAGCTGTCAATTTTTCATCCTTAATTAACCGCCTCATCTGTTGTTTTGCATACAGGAACTGCAGTGAGATTCACAGGTGAGTCACCGACTTCAGTGTTTGAAGGAACCAGTGCTCAGAGCTGCCAGGAGCTCTGCCATACCTGAGGTCAGCCACTGACTTGTTGAGTGTGATCTTTTAGGCAGGCTTGGATGGGGAATTCAAAGTGGGGGAGGAATAATTGCATTCCCTGGGGAGCTCTTTCAGAGGTTGACGAAGATTTTATATTGAGGTGACAATTTGCACCTCTGTCTTTCACTCATTGTGGCATGTCACAGTATTCCTGGCTCATGTACAAGTGCAGTCTTCGTGTGTTTGGGAGACAATTGAGTATTTTGGGCCTGGATCAGCTGTTTTGTTGGTTTGAATTTTAATAAATGAGATAGAATATTGTGTGTCCCTGGTTCAGACTGGGACAGACAGTGAATATACTTGAAGGGAGTGAATATACTTTTAAAGGGGGTTGGAGAAAACACAGAGCAGCTGCTGAACAGGACATTCTCACACCACACAGGGACCTGTAGGCTGTGGCCAGGAAGAAAATGCCTTCAGGGCATTTTTAGAAGTGTCTCTGTCCCCTCAGGATCTATCTTAAATTTCTCTGTGTTGTCCTATGAACCAAGCCCAGAAATGTGAGCAGCTCTCCCTGTACCTGCAAAGGTGTAGAACATGGATGCTGGCTTCAGCAGATAATCCCTCTTCTTCCTGAAGGACAGGAGCACACAGATCGTCCCCATGATGGCAAAGCCAACGCTGAAGATGGCAATGGCTGCAGCTGAGATGCTGTATTCTGCCAAAGGGAAAAAACCACCAAAAATGACATAGTGCACATTTGAGCCTGCTGCCATCAGCTGTGGGGATGTTACAGTAGCTCACTCTGAGAAATCCTGGCTTTGGTGAATTGTTTTCTTCAAGTGATAACGGGGACAAGTATTGGCCATCTATCTTTGGAATGTGAAAAAAGCAGAGTATAAAAGAAAAAACAGGTATAGAAGCAGAGCAGGAAGGGGAAACACTTTCTGAACACCCCCCAAGATAGCCCAGGGCACCTTTGCTCACCATCTCACCTGTATGGGGCTGCTGGATCTGCTTTGGCTCTGCCATGGAAATGTTCTTGTCAAAGCCTTGCTGGGCTCCATGCTCTGGTCCCATCACCCCACACCCTGCTCCCAGCATTAACAGACTAGCTCAATAGCTAGAATAGCTCTTTCTGCTTTTGTTCTGTGCTTTCTGCAGAGCCCTGGCCCTGCATGGTCTGGTGCTGTCCCAGTGCCCCGTGGGCTCAGCTCCTGAGTGGGCACAGCAGGCCAGGGTGAAGTGTTTGCACAGCTCATTTTTATTCCTTTGCCTTCACAACAGAGATTTCCAGCTCTGTACAAACCCAGCTTCTTCAGGACATGGGATTCAACCCTCCCCAAAAGTCCTTACAAAAGGTTTTTGTAAGCCATGTGCTGGACACTCCTCCAGCCCAGCACTGCTCAGTGCCTGGGTGGAGGAGGAGAGTTGCTAATTGAGTAATTCAAACCTTCATTTGCATATTGAGTTCGTTTTCAGATTAGTTTAATGTTTAACACATGTAGCCATGCATGAACATCACACTGCCTGATGATATTTGCCTTTCAAGCCATTTAAATAAAATATCTCCCAGGCAAAATCATGAAGAATTTTTTTTGCCTGTTACTAATTAGCTCCCATCCAAATGAGCTATTTCTGCAAAGGGGAACAGCAGATTACTCTTTGTTCTCACTGCTTTTCATATCACTGTTTTATTATCATTTTCTAAATGTTTCTCTTTTCTCTGTGCTGGAACTGCCTGAAAGTGTTCGTTTCATTGTAAAATCTTTTGCTGGGCTTAAGATTTTCTTTTTTGCCCCAAAGAAAAGAAGTTCTTCCTGACTTTTTTTTTCCCCTGAAGAAATTATTCCTGATTTTTTTCTGCATTGCCCTGAAGGCATTGGGTGCATTTTGAAGATCAGGTGGCTGGATCAGATAGCAGATAACTGAGCAAAAGCAGGTGACTCAGATATATACTTTTCTATCTAGTTTAAATTCCTGTCTTTCCTGTCTTAGGAAGCTACTTTTTTAGGGAACCTATCTTCAGGGTTTTCCACCATTAAAATTTCTAGAAGCAAAGCAGATTAATACATGCAATGTATCCAATGGCTCCCATTTTCCACAGTAAATGCGTTGTGTTGCAAACTGTGAGGGAGTTTGTCCCCAAAGAGAGGATGAGAAAGAGAGAGGAGCATGTTAGGAGAGCCCTCAAAATATTTGGACTTATTAAATATGTGGAATTTGTCCATGGAAGACAATTTTGCTGTAAACACTGACAGTTCATGTCTTTGCAGAATCCCTGTTCCTTCCATCCATTGATTGCTCTATTTTTTACATTACTTTCATATAAAATCAATATGAACCATAAAATTCCTAATGGTCCTCAGAGAGCCACTGCACTTCTTTTCAGGGTCAAGACTCTGCTTGGGGTATGATTTATTCATTTAGGTTTTATTAATATCTTCCCCTTCAATGGCAAAGGCTGAGTGTCACGGATAGTGCCAATGTTGTAAAGTCATTTTTATGCTGGAAGGACTTTTTGCAGTTTTCCTGGCTATTGACATTGTTATATATTTGTGGGACAACTTATGTAAAATCATGTTTATTGGTGTGATCATATATAAAAATAATTGTCCCCAGGAAGCTGGGATTTGACCTTGTCCAGGGCATTTTCCACATTTTTCCCAGCTGATGGTGCCTGTTAGAAATTCTGCTGCTTTCAGCGGAACCAGGGCTGAACCCTCATTTTGGGGACCCCTTTCCATTAAATCTTGTGTGCCCATCACTTCATACAACATAAGGAAAATATTCTTTTGGAATCATTCTTACCTTTCTGGGTGGTTACTTCAAATATCTCCGAGGTCTCTCCTGGAGTGAAGTGCTTGAAGTAGGAGCAGTTGTGGTCTGAAAGAGAAAAGAAAATTCAATTTTGTGCTCTTGGAAGCCTGTGATAAAATGTAGTAAGACTGAATTAGCTTTTTATTGATGTACCAAGCTTGCAGTGGTTTGGAGGCTCCCTGCCCTTGGTGATACTGAAGAACTGGGGTTGGATCTGATTTCCCTGGGAGCAGATGAACACCAGATTACACCAGACTCCAGCACGGACAAGGCTGAAGCCCCTCTGATACCTTTTGTATCCCTCTCAGAGCTGATTGCTCTCCTGCTTAAAATATGAATTACAGATGATTTCTTTCATTGTGTCTTTGGCCATCACACGTTTCTGCCTCTCAGAGCTGCAGCATTTCCTGGGGCTGGGATCTGCTGTGCCCACAGCTGAGCTGGCAGCTCCCTTCCCTCGCCAGCCCACTCCATGGTGACCTTGGGGTGCAGGCAGGGAGGATGGAGGGTCCTCACCCACCTTTCCCTTCCATGGTGACCT